GCCGCCGTTGCCGCTCGCGCGTGGGGTGAGTGGCTCGGGGCGGGGGGCGCCGCGGCTCGGGGCCGCGTTGTCACGGCGCGGGGTGGGACGTCCGGCGGCCCCGGGAGCGCGGGGACGACGCGGGGAGGGCTGCTGGGCTGTGGCTGCGCGGAGGCTGGGCGCACGGCCCCCTCCGGCTGCGTGGCAGCCAGGTCGTGCGGGCTGTCGCCCTGCGTCCAGGCCGGCTGCACGGCCCGGGGTCCGGCCACGCGAGTGCGGGGAGGCGAGGGTGAGAGGCTGAGGCTCGCCTGTCACCTTCTGGCGTCGGCGGGAGGCTCGGCCCCTAGCGCGCCGGGGGAAGGGCCGCCTGCCCGGGCGAGGCAGCCGCAGCCTTGCCCTCCGTGGAGACCCCCCGCTCTGCACGCAGCTTGCCCGTGGGAGGGCAGGGGACCCGCGGCGTCCTCCGTTCTGGCAGAAAAAGTTGAAGAAACTAGGTCTGTTAATAATTAGCAGGAGCGGGACTCGGGATGCAGCAGAAAGCTGTTGAGTTTTCATTGCCCTCTAAGAAAAACAAACGGCATCGCCAACGACTATTGGCAGGGCCGTGTTATTTTTGGGACTTCGGGAAAATTGTCCACAGATTGCATTCGGGGGAGACTGAAGACGGGGGGGTGTACCCGGGGGGTCGCGGGGACGGCTGGCACCGCTTTGAGTTTCAGCCCGCCCCTGGAGGACTCAGATTCTTAAGCCTGACGCACTTGGTTCCTGGTTTTAAAACGTGTCAGAGGCAGAACTGCAGCCACGATCAAGGAGAAGAACGCACTGCGAACCGGCCTAAAGGAGCATATGTAAAAATCTCTGTCGGAGACCAAGTGCACTTGTGCTGGGGAGAGGAAAAAAAAAAGAATGCTGCATTTGTGGCTTTTAGGGTAGGTTTTATGAATGACAAATTATACTTGATGAAATTGTATCTCCTATCTGTCCCTGAACAGTTCTGTCTGCCGCCTGGTTTTAATCAGCGCTTTGGGAAGGCAGTGTCTGCGCTGATGTTATATAATTGACGCGGTTCACCATCAGATATTTTTAATGTACTTTTGGAGTAAAGGAAACTTCCATCTGTCTCTTCAGACAGGCCCAAGGTGTAGACGGGTGAGGGCTGCTAGGGTTCGCCCTCCTCTAGCTCCAGATGTGTGAGCTCAGCTGTTGCCTGTCACTTAGGTGACAACTGGCCTTTTTCCGACTAAGCCTTTGCTGTCGCCATTATCCTCAGTGAAGTGTCAGTGTGCCTCAGCCTTCTATTACCAGAGTAGGACCGTGCCCCTTGGGAGGTGTCAGCCGTGTTTGACCATCTCCAACAATACCTATGTTCTTAGAGTAAAAAGGGGGGGGAGGAGAGGGAAAAAAAAAACCTGACAGCAAGATAGATACGCTTTTAGATTAAGACCAACCTAATCTAAAAATTGTGTTTTAATCAGCTTCATAAGGATGACGCAATGTTTGTCAAGCCTTTTTCACTAGAACAATATTTACTCCCACCAGGGGATTTAAAACTTAAACAGCAGCCATTTATCTTGCTGTCTGGTGAAGCTGGGTTCATTTTGCCTCCAATGTGGTCCTAGCCTAGGTGGCTGGGACAAGAAGCTATCATTGTAGCCAGCTGGAGGCTGGAAAAAAAAAAAAAAGCAAAATGCAGCACCTGCTGGTACCAGGTGCTGGTTCCAAATGCCATCAACTGGCCAGCCGAGAAACACAGGAGGAGATATTTTATAAGCACTTCCGGAAATGTTTATGCAAAGGATTTAAAGGTTAATAAGGCAAGGGCTGTACAGAGGGGGCTAGAAAGAAAAGGATGCTACCCTCAGTTAAGAGTTAGCACGCTCACTGATAACTAAAATAATAAGTCATGGCTAATGTGAATGAATTACTCATACTTCTAACTAAGCCTTAAAAAAAAGGAAGGGGGAATGATGTCTAAAGATGTACAGGTTGATTTGAGTGAATGAGCTTAGTAATTTAATTTTTTCATTCTTAATGTGGTACTAATTGGAGAGTTACCTCTGAGTGAGCCTGTTGATTTATAGACTCTTTTTAAGAGAAAACTGCCATATTTCACTGAAGTGACAGATTCAATCAGTCCTGCTGGTAATACCAATGAAGCTTAAAAGGTTGACTGTTTTTTTCTAATTAAGGACTGTGGGTCCACTTCTTGTTGTAATGAGTCAGCTAGGGTCATGAAAGGAACACCTAATACAAACTAGAAAGACAAAGAAACTTTGTAGTTAATAGCTAGACTATGAGAGCTGGCCCTAAAACAAAGTTAAAATTTTACAGTTTCCTTAGAGATTTCCAAAAGTAAGCTGGGACATAAGTTTTTAAAATATCATGATTAGATAATCTCTTTAAAGTCTACAGTAACCTATCAGTGGAGCACAAAAGGTTAAGTTGTATAAGTTATCTTAGCAGTACCAGGGGGCTAGCGTGGGTGCCAGGCCCTCTGGGTAAGCCATGCCCCAATGAGTGACAGTCCTAATACTGGAGAAATAGAGTGAGAATCTTTAAAAATTATTTACCACCAAGTAACTCTTAGAATAACCTACCCTATGTTTCTTGAATTGTCAAGTCAAGATTATCCTTTACTGGTATTTTAATTACAGCATTTAATTCCCCAAACAAAATAGTTTATAGTGGCTAAATCATCCATTTTAAAGAAGTAGAACTTCAGAAATCAAAATGGGGTTCTGGGAAGATGTCTCAGTTGGTAAAGTACTTGTTCTGCAAATACAACGGCCTCGGTTCAGACCCACAGGACCCTTGCGTGTACAAAGCTGGGCAAGGTCACCTGTGTGTGTAATCTCAGCACTAGGGGACCAGGGCAAGGGGATTCGGAGAGCTGTTGGGCCAGCCAGCCAACCTAGAACATCAGTGAGTTCTGGGTTCAGTGAGAGACATTGTCTAAAATAATAGTAATAATAAAAAATAATGTAGAGAGACATAGAGGAAGATGCCTTACATCAACCTCTGACCTCCATGCGTGTGTGTGTGCGTGCGCGCGCACACACACACACACACACACACACACACACACACACACACAATGGTTCTCATGTGTGCATAGAAATGCCATTATGTCATCTCACCGACATAGACTCCTCCCCTCAGAAAAGTAGTTCTGGGTTTTCCATGTTATGTAAAGCAGTGTTCCCTGTTCAACTCTTACTAGTGTGGGAATATTAAAAGAATAAGGCAAGTGAATGAGGCGTTTCCTGCTGGGTTATGCTAAGGGACCATTATGTTTGTCCTGGTTATCGGATAAGGAATTGTAGGGTTGCACGGTGGTGCTTTTAGAAAGTGGGCATGAGCAGATGATTGGGGGAGGAGGACAGAGTCATCAGGAGGCCAAGCTCCGCACTGCTGCAGTGCAGTGCCTCCGGTCCTCTGCTGTGACTGGAGCCAGTGACTCCAACAGTGTCAGGGCCTGGGGACCAGGCAGCAGAGCAGCCCTGCCCTTCTGGACCCCTCCTTTTGGACATATGCAGAAGTCACCTCTCAGCTTCCTGGTAACCAAGGAATGCACCTGTTGATAGTAGTGCCAAGAAAAGGGCTAGAGAATGAGCATCCAGGAGCAGTGGAAAGGGCTGGCCAACAGCAAGGCCAACAGGAGCTCTTGCAAGTCTATTTCCCCTGACCCTCTCTCCCGAAGAAGAAGGTGGTAGAAAGAGACTACTTTACAGCTTGGAGCATGCTGACGTCATGACGATTCTGGCACGAAGATACGACACAGTAATCAGATCCCTCTCTGTGTGCCAGAATGACACGGTTTTTCCACGAGCTGTTCCCGAGCTGCTGGTCCACGGGCATGGCTGTTTCCAGTTACGGGGGGGGGGGGGGGGGTTAAAGCCTCTCAGACAGTTCAATACTTCTTCCTATGTCTGTCTGTTTAAACTACATGCTCATGGCCACATCTGAAGGGAATTCTCTGAGAACAGGGAGACGGAACAACCTTCCATGGTCATGTGCCTACAGCTAAAAACTGCCAGGTAGGCAGAAACCAGTATAAACATTTGAAAACATGGAACTGCAAACGAGCCAACAGCTGCCATTCACATATACTTAACTCCCATCCCCAGGGTTTTGTTCTAGGTGATCCTAAAAATCAACTGACCAGCTAAGCTGAGGTGGCATTTTTCTCCCTGGGAGATTGGAATGATCCCATTCATTACATACTCTTCAGAAAAGGAGTTAGGGGGAAAAAAAAAAAAAACGAGTTAGGGCTCTGTTATTCCAGTTGTCTTGGTACTCGGTCCTGCACCAGCCTTGCTGTGCTCTTCTGTTCTCACTAGGCACTTGGAAAGAGAGATGTGTCCGTGATGGGTGACATTCTGCACTGAGGTGCCCCTGGTTCCTTGAGTCCTCCCTCTCCCACAGTTCCACTGGCCTTCCTTCTTTATGGAGGTACTGAGCCCACAGCTAACAGTTATGATCTGTGACTTTAGTAACAGTTCTGTTTGAAATGTTTCCAATTACACATAAGATTGGCCCCACTCAGCAGCTGCATGCCAAAAGCATTTCCTAGTGTGCTCCAAGAATCATGCTGTGATTGCTTTTAATTTAAATAAAGGCTATTTGGTTTCCTGTGATGTTTTTTATAACCACCCTTTTCTCTGTTTGTGTTGCCTTAAAAAAAAAAAAGCCTACATAGAGTAGCCACCACTTAATGTGATGTGACCCTAGTTTTCTAGGATACCATTTGCTTTGAGCAAACACCCTGTACTTAATAAAGAAATCGTAAAGAAACATTGTATGCCATTGGGTTTCCCTAAGGAAGGGGGAAAGGTTATCTGGTAACACATTGTAAGTAGCTAATGATTTTGAAGTTTTCTTCCTTTTTTCTTTAGAGACCAATCATAATCATCCTCTTAGGCCATTGGATATCATCTGACACATTGTCTTTTATTCAAATTATTCCATTTTCCCCTTTGAAGGGCCATGAAGAATGGTTTAAAACAAAAATACTGAAAGAGTAGAGAGAAGTTAAAAACATACTTGAGCCAAAAGAAGAGACAGTGAACAATTTCATCCTTTCTACAGCCACCAGATTGTCCTAAGCCAGCTCCTCTGGGGGCTTCCAACTTTTTAAACACAGTGGTGGCTCTAATCCTCTAACAGCCGGCAGATATATTTGAGTAAGCTTGAAAATAAACAGTCTTGGGACTTGGCTTGTGTGGGCTGGTATGGGACTGGGGGGGGGGGCTGTTTCCGGAAAGGTTTTCTGCCCATCCCCATGAAACACAACACCCACAGCCAGAGGGGACCCAACGGGTGAGGTGCTGAGATGGTCCCCAGGAAGGGTTCTCACACAGGCTCTTTCAGTGCCTCAAGAGCATCCTGGAGAATAGAGTGCTTCTTTGGGTTCAACAGTAGTTGACTTGCAGAGATGCCAACATCTCTCCTGGCACTTTTGGACAATTTCCACCATGTAATAAATAGTGCTGTTTAGTCCAAATTTGTAAATGCCATATTTCATGGAGCCCCTGCGGGAACAGCAAAAATTAACCCAGGCTACTAGAGATCATTGAAGCCTAGAGGTTAGGTTACTGCCTAAATCCCAGTGTGACCACTAACTAGGTCTACTGGCAACCTCTCATCAAAATAAAAGGAGTTAGCTTAGGCTAGGTAGAATAGGACTGAAAAGCATCTAGTGGCTTCTACATAGGGGTCCTTTTTTTTTTTTTTTTTTCATCTCACTTCATTCTTGGGTGCTGCCTATCAATTCAACAAACCTCCCTGGAGGACCTTGATTCAATTAGCGATAAAACCAGGTCTTGAGCTACTTACTACACTGCTGATGAGAACCCAGGATGATAGACACACCCTCTTCATATGGGCCCTTTGCTACAGGGACCAATTCCTCAGTAGTAGCTACCGTTAA